ATTTTTTCTTTTTTTAAATGAAAGATGCCATGGACATTAACTTTTACTCTATTTCACCTGTCACCTAGGGTATTGAAAGTCAATGTCTAGGGTATAGCCACCGAACACGACCAGACGAAAACTTTTTTCTTTTTTTTGTTCAAACGAAAACTATAAATGTACATTATATAACCAGTATCGTATGTGGCTGATGATAATATTGTAATTTGTGAATAACAAAAACAAGTGCAACATACACAGAATCGCCTTATATGAGATATGTTGATCTTGTTCTCAGTTCTTCTCTTCTTTATCATCATCACAAGCTTCTTAGCAAGTCCAACAATATCTGTTTCGCCATCTCTCCATTCAGATGAGTGTATGAGAATAAACCACTGTTAATCTTTCTTTAAAGAAAAATGAAGGTCTAAATCCTCATTTGTATGTCTATTATTTGCTTATATATTAACTATAAGCAGTGAATGCGCTAGAGAAGATAGCTACTACTCTTGGAATCAAGGGACTGAACCTAAGTTATGGAGATCCTTGCAGTTTAGGAACCCTAAAGATGATACAAGAAGATGATGTTGTTTCGAATCCGGAGACTGGAAACAGCACCATTCGTTGTGATTGTAGCTTCAACAACAGCATGACATGCCATATAACAAGCATGTGAGTGTTATTAATTTGTTCGTCTTCTTCTCTTAAGTAGATTTTTCCTCTCTGTCCTGATATATTTTCTGGTTGCACTATTTGGACAAAAAACAGAGATCTCAAGACCCTTGGCCTTCCAGGAAAACTTCCACCAGAGCTGGCTGACCTCCGATATCTCCAATCGATGTGAGTGAGTTTAACCACGCAAAATCATATATAGGAGATGTTGTCAAATGTATAGCGAGATAATCTTCAAAGAGAGCCATGAGAGCCGAGTTTTTGCTTTTCTTTCCAGGGACTTGTGCAGAAACTACCTTACGGGTACAATCCCTATGGAGTGGGCTTCACTGCCATACCTCACTTCCATGTTAGTTCCATCTCTTTTTATGTTGCCAATACATACTATCCATGATTCCCACAGTATGACTTTTGAATTTTTTTCAGCTCGCTCTGCGCGAATAACTTGTCTGGGCCTCTACCAACTGGGTTACAGAACTTCAAGAATCTTACAGTCCTGTAAGTCTCAAATTGTTTCCTATACCAAATTGCCTTTCGATTTGACCTTATAACGGTGATGTGACGAAATTTCCAGAGGGGTTGAAGCCAATCAGTTCTCTGGTCCAATTCCTAAGGAGCTTGGTAACTTGACCAACCTAATACGACTGTAATACCCTTTCCATCTTAACCATTTTACAAAACCACTGAATATTTAGTTTGATGCACCAAATTTTAGCCAAAAGAAACAATTAGTAGTTTTAATCTTCTGCAGGCATCTTACCTCCAATCAATTTACAGGAAGCTTGCCTAATTCCCTAGCCAAACTGGTGAACCTTGAGGATTTGTAAGTTGTTTCTGTAACTAAAAATTAATAATATCTCAAGGTTTTGTTTTATTGGCATCTACATTGGAGAAAAATCTGTTTGATTCAAAGCTTTCTGTTGAAATTTTCCTCGACTCTTTATATGCTTTTGTTTCTTTTATAGTATGAATTGTTTGGTTGTAAATTTATTTTACACTCAGGACATTCTCATCTCAATCAAGAACCTATAAACTAGTTCAGGAATATAAGTTTTTACAAAGCTCTTAAATAGTTGTTTGTTTTCATTATATATGCAGTAGGGTAAGTGACAATAACTTCAATGGTACCATCCCAGCATATATAGGCAACTGGCCTCGGCTTAAAAGGCTGTAAGCGTGTCCTTCATTGCTAATTTTCATTTCTCTTATGGTTTGTGTTTATCTACCATCTAAGCTGTGTCTGCTATAATTAACAGAGGTCTAGTTGCAAGTGGACTGAAAGGTCCTATTCCTGATGCAGTTGCCCGCCTAGAAAATCTTATTGATATGTAATGAACTTACCTCCATGTAGTATTAACAACAGGATAATTGAAACTAAACTGACGTTTTAAGTGATATATCCATATGCAGGAGTATTAGTGATACAACTGGGATAAACTCCTTTCCAAATATGTCCAGCAAAGCCATCAGAAAACTGTATTAATCTTTTTCTTCAGTCATCAGTTTATCTGTCTTGAGGGTTGATTCTTTTTGAACTAATTCTCCCTTCTCTGTTGCAGGATTTTGAGGAATGTGAGCTTGTCTGGTCCAATTCCTTCTTACATATGGAATTTGCCAGAGCTAAAGACTTTGTAAGTTCTTAATTTCTGTCAGAGCTAGTTTAATATACTCAGCATTACCTGCAGAGGAACTATCAGACGTGTATATGTTGATGAAATTTCTCATATATATGCTTGTCATGGACTGGTGGGTATACACTTTGTGAGAGCCTTTACTTTTTTTTATTACATGTTTACTGCAGGGATTTATCGTTTAACAGCTTGACAGGCGAAGTTCGTGGAATACAAAGTGCACCAAAATACACGTAAGTAATATACAATCTGAGACCAAACATGTTAAAGAGATGAATCCAAATACTGTCAATACCATGGTGCCATGATCAAGTATGCATCATTCTGACATGTTTGTTCAGCTATTTGACTAGAAATAGACTTTCTGGAGACGCTGGATCCGGTGTTTTTCTCAATAGCAAATCTAATATGTACGTTTAGGCTTTCCCACTGTCTATATTATTTTGAGATACTTTCTCCTCATGTCAACTAATCTTTTTATCCAGCTTCTAATATGATTATTTCTCACAGTGATATCTCCTACAACAACTTCTCTTGGTCGTCTAGCTGCCAGGAAAAGAGGTACTAATATGAAATCTTGGTTAATATAATACATCTTCTCTTTTTTTTGTTGATAAGCTTCTCATGTTGAAGTTTCCATTTACATTTTGTGTCAATCAGTAACATTAATACATACCAGAGCTCATATTTAAAGAACAATTTGTAAGTATACACTCCTCTGCTTTGTCTTGCATCAATAGAATATTTTGAATATTTTCTGCCATTGTGATGTCTAACTATTTTGGTATTCTTTTATACAGGACTGAGTTTCTTCCATGTGCTGGTCCAATCAACTGCACGAGCTGTAAGTACAGAATGTCTGAACATGTTATTTTGCTGTCTGCTTGCTTGTTAATTCTCTCTTTCAATTATGGCTTGCAGATCAGCGAACACTACATATAAATTGTGGTGGAGACAATATAATTACTAAAAACTCCTCTCATAAAATCAGCTATCAAGCGGATGATAGTACTATCTATTCCGCAACAAATCAACACTTCAAAACCTGGGGAATTAGTAACACAGGTGTATTTGCCGCGGATGAACATAGTGAGAATGACACGTACATCATTTTAAGTAGTTCAAAACTACCTCGAGATTCTCCTGATCTTTATAAGACTGCACGTAGATCTGCTCTCTCACTTGTTTATTATGCATTTTGCTTGGAAAATGGACCCTACAATGTGAAACTCCATTTTATGGAGATTCAGTTTTCAGACGAAGAACCATTCAGTCGTCTTGGCAGACGCATATTTGATGTCTATGTTCAGGTGAAGTGTCGGTTAATCATTTTTTTTTTCTAGAATGAAGCATGTAAGATTAAAGTTCATTTGCTTTTGTCACTTTTCTTTCTTAGGGAGAATTGTTCTTGAGGGATTTTAACATGAAAGAGGAGTCTAAAGGGACTATGACGCCTGTTGTGAAAGAAAAAAAAGTTGTTAATGTGACCAATCATATGTTAGAGATTCAACTCTATTGGGCAGGGAAAGGGACAACCCTCATACCTAAAAGAGGGAACTATGGTCCCCTTATCTCTGCAATCTCTTTGTGTCACCACAGTAAGTATCTTTATCATATTGCTTTCTTCCTCTCAAGTGATCACTTCAAATGACACAGTTTCTTTAAAATTTCAGGTATGGAGCCACTATGTGGAGGTAAAAAGGCTTGAAAATATCTTTCGGTAGCTTGGTGTATATATGATCTATCATGTATATATTTACACAATTCCTTTTTGTCTTATTTACAGCGGAAAAAATAAGACATGACACTAATTATCCCCTAATTTTTGGGATAATGGCTGCCTTGGTAACAATTATTCTCTTGGCTTTGGGGATATATGCTCGGAGAAGATGCATAAGAGACAAGAATACAAGCGAACAAGGTATCATATTTCACAGTGTATGAATCCATTTCTGATACATGCATGACCAATTCGTTTAAACTATTAGTAATTATTTTCTCTTGGTAACATGATCACATAGATCTAAGACTCAAGGGTCTGCCAACGGTTTGCTTTACTTGGAGGCAACTGCAAGCTGCAACAAACAATCTTGATCAAGCCAACAAACTTGGAGAAGGGGGTTTCGGATCCGTATTCAAAGTATGCTAAAATAAATGTCTAAGTTCTTCTCAAACGTAGAAAATATGGTTTCTGATATGAGAAACTTAACGTAGGGAGAGCTGTTGGATGGAACCATCATAGCAGTGAAGCAGCTTTCTTCCAAGTCACACCAAGGAAACCGCGAGTTTGTGAATGAGATAGGAATGATCTCTGGTCTTAATCATCCTAACCTTGTCAAGCTTTATGGATGCTGTGTTGAGAAGAATCAATTGATGCTCGTCTATGAGTACATGGAAAATAACTCACTTGCTCTTGCGCTGCATGGTAATTAACAATCATTCAGCTTTTCTTTATAAAATATGTTACGGGTCTGGTTCAAGTTTACACATATGTTCCCATATTTAAAAATGATATTACTTGTCTTTGGTTAAAACTCATTTCCAGGAAAGAGTTCCTTGAACCTGGACTGGAAAGCAAGACAAAAAATGTGTTGGAATCGCAAGGGGGCTTGAGTTCCTTCACGAAGGATCAATGATCAGGATGGTTCACCGTGACATAAAGACCACAAATGTGCTATTAGACGCTGACCTAAATGCAAAGATATCTGACTTTGGATTGGCTAGGCTCCATGAAGAAGAACATAGTCACATTAGCACCAAGATTGCAGGAACCATGTAAGAGTATATTACAAAACCAAATTGACACAGTGGTCAAAGAATATATCTAGCTCAGTCTTCGTTCTCTTACGATACAGCGGATATATGGCTCCAGAATATGCATTATGGGGTCAGTTGACAGATAAAGCAGACGTTTATAGCTTCGGGGTTGTGGTGATGGAAATTGTTAGTGGACAGAGTAATACTAAATACAAGGGAAGTGATGATGAAGTCTCCCTTATCAATTGGGTAACTAACTGATGGGATTCTTTTTTTTAAGTTTTCTTTAGCCCATTTCATGCACTATGGGGTCAATTATTATAGTTTACTTAGACATCATTTTACACCAACTCTCAGGCACTGAAGCTGCAACAGAAAGGGGACGTAATGGAGATAGTAGATCCAGTGCTGCAAGGTGATTTCAACAAAAAAGAAGCAGTAAGGATGATCAAAGTTGCTCTAGTTTGCACAAACTCATCTCCTTCCTTAAGACCAACCATGTCAGAGGTTGTGCAAATGCTGGAAGGAGAGAAAGAAATAACACAGGTTCTTTCAGATCCTGGTTTATATGGACATAACTGGAGCATTTCAAACCTCATGGACATTAATACAGATGGTGACTTGAGCACATCTGGTGTGACCGATCAAACGGCAACGACAATGAAATCGTCAGTTTCTGGTCGTGATCTCTACCCATTATACCCTGAATCCATGATCTTAAAATCCACAGTAGACTTATCTTCCTCGTCATTGTGAAGCTCTCTGCGTTACCTTGTGACGTACTAGAGACCAAAGGCTTACAAGACCGTTCGGTTTGGTTTTGTTGGACTTTGTTTTGGTTTGGTTCTGTATTGATTAATTTTTAATTTTGGATACGGTTTGGTTTTCTAAACTTTTTATTAAATCAGAAATGTAAATTGTAGTCGGATTCAACACTTGGTCGATGTACGGCCTTTCCATGACACGTCTATGAAATTTGCATGTCTTTTATTATATTATATCATCATGAATTAATCTAACCATGTGACAAAGAAAAGCGAATCTTATCTAAGCGTAAAACCAAATACGAAAAGGAAGATGGCCTCGAGTGGCGACGAAGATCAGGTGGCTCCTGGAGATCCGGTGACGGTTTCCACACGCATGATTGATGCCGGAACGACGACCATGCAGAGGAGATTACCAGTGAAGCAAATGAACTGTCATGTTTCGACGTTTGCTATTTACGGTGGAGATATGTCCCGGCAAATAGAGACTCACCACTATGTCCATCGAGTCAACGATGAGTTCCTCCAGTGCGCAGTTTACGCCTCTGACCGTTCTGATGCACCTCTCATCGGTAATGTTTATTGTTTTTTTACTCAGAAAAAAGCTCAATCTATTGAAAGTTCATACTAAATTTGTTATTTTATAGGAATTGAATATGTCATATCAGACCGGTTATATGAAAATCTGCCTCAAGATGAGCAAAAGCTTTGGCACTCACATGCTTACGAGGTAAAGTCAGGTTCGTGGGCTTATCCACGATTGCCTGAAGTTGTGGCTACTCCAGAGCTCAAGAACATAGCCAAAACATACGGGAAATTTTGGTGCACCTGGCAGATAGACCGAGGTATGTCTCTCTAAACCGGACCAGTTTATAGTGGTGAATTGGGTTCGGTTTTGTCCGGTTTAATCTGGTTTCAACAATCATTTGATCTTTTGTGTGTGTTTGTGTAGGTGACAAGTTACCAATGGGTGCACCCGAACTGATGATGTCACCACAGGGGGTGGAGCAAGGGGTATTAAGGCCGGAGTTGGTTAAGATCAGAGATGAGAAGTATAACATATCGACCGACGAATTGAAGCATAAGAGAGCGGAGATAGCTGAACCGGAGTGGATCAATCCGATGGCAGATTACTGGAAGCAACATGGTAAGTGTTTCGTAATCGATATTGTGACTGTCGATATGAACCGTAATGAGCAATTCCCTTGAACAATGTACTATGAACATGTTAAATAGAATAATGTTATGCATTATTAGTAAAGATGAATAATATCTTTTTATTTCTGCTTGAAAGATCCGTTACACTGATCACTTCTTTTTATAAGCTAAGAAAGTGTGTAACAAGTGGATAAAACCAAGAACAGAATATTTAACCTTCGTTAAAACGTACTAAACCGAATGATCAATTTACATACTCTATTATTCCTCCTTAAGATAAACCAAATATAGAAATGAGACTCACCTTGCCAATAAGAAAACCAAACTGAGTCGGAAACAAAGCCTTAATAAACACATCAGCAACTTGAGCAGAAGTACGGAGCAGAAGTACGGACGTGCATAGTCTTGATTTAGCGCATAGTCTTGATTTAGCAAGATTCAATCTTCTCACGAGTAATGTGACAATCGTTTTCTATATGTTTAGTGTGTTAATGAAATACTGCATTATTTTCAATGTGAATTGCAGTAGTAGAATCACAAAACAAAGGCACTGGTTAAGAAGAATGAACCTGAAACTCAGCAAGCAACTTAACCAACCAAGCAATTTCACAAGTAGCAAGCGCCATAGTTCGATATTTCGACTCAGCAGATGAAAGTGAAACAACATCCTGCTTCTTAAACTTCCAAGATATAACAGTATCACCAAGGAAAGTACAAAGACCAGATGTTTATCGGCGAGTATCGGAACAAGAGTTCTAATCAACATCAGTAAAGATCTTAAGTTTCAAATCAGAGTTAGCTGGATAGAATAATCCTAAGCCAACAGTCCCTTTAAGATATTGAAGAACTTTGTGAACAGCTTTAAGGTGAGACTTTGTTGGTGCTGAAGAGATATGACACAATTTATTTACCGCAAATGTGATGTCACGCCGAGTGATTGTCAAGTACATGAACTTCCCAACCAACTGTTTGTAGACTTCAGGGTCTGCATCCTATAAAACCAGTCTCTTCAAGCAACTCTAACACATATTTCCGTTGACAAACAGAAATACCCATATGTGAACGAGCAATCTCCAAACCGAAGAAGTACTTCAAAGGACCCAAGTCTCTGAGTTTGAAATCAGTAGATAGATCCTTCTTTAACTGAACAACAACCTCATCATTCTTTGAAACAAGAACAATGCCATCCACATAAACTAGTAAAGCGGCATAAACATCACCAGTCAAGCGAATAAACAGAGCCTGATCAGACTGAGATTTCCGAATCCAAGAATAACCAAAGTAGAACAGAATTTCAAAAACCATTGCTTAGAAGCTTTCTTAGATCCATAAAGAGTTTTTGAAGCTAAAGCACAACATTATCAGGCAATGATTCCCCTTTTCGTGCAGCATATCCTGGTGGTAAAGTCATATATATTTCTTCGCCAAGATCACCATTAAGGAATGCATTGGAGATATCAAGTTGAAGGAGACTCCAGTTCTTAGCTGCAGAAACAGAAAGCAAAGTTCGAATTGTGGTCATCTTGGCTACTGGAGAGAAGGTATCAATATAATCCAAGCCTTCTCTTTGTGGCCTTGAAACGTTCGATTGTGTCATCAGCATTCAACTTGACTTTAAAAATCCATCTTCAGCCAATAGGACTTTTACCCGGTGGTAGAAAATAGACAATCCATATTCATGTACTTTCCAGAGCAGTTTCTTCAACTTCCATAGCATCATTCCAAATCTTAAGCTTCTTTGCTTGAGAATAAAACTGTGGTTCCAAAAACTTTTCAATGGTACAGATAACAGCTTGATGTTCATCAGATAACAGTGTGATATTTATGTAAGCAGAGATAAGATACCTCTCATCAGCAAGAGTATTACAATAATAATCTTGAAGATCATCTGGTCGTTTTTTCTTGCGTTTAGATGATTCTGCAATATCAGGAGGAGGGACATTGATATTTTCTGAAGCATCAGGTATGTGTTGCATAGGAATCTGTTCTGTGGATGCCTCAAATACATCAGTAAGAAAAGAATCCTTGGAAACAAAAGGAAATAGAGTTTTAAAGAAAACCACATGTCTCAAAGTCTCCAAATCCAAAAGCTTGTACCTTTATAGCCAGCGGGATATCCTAGAAACACAAGCTTTAAATCTTGGTTGAAACTTGTGACATTGATGAGGAGAGGTGGACTGGTAACATAAACAGCCAAAGGTACGCAGCATGGAATAGTCTGGAGCTTTGCAGTGTAGCATCTCAAAAGGGGACTTATTATCCAAAACAAGAAGGCAATCTGTTAATCAGAAAAACTGTAGATAAAACACAATCTCCCCAATAATGGATAGGAATATGTGACTGAAACATCAGAGATCTTTCCACATTTAATATGTGTTGGTTTTTCCTTTCAGAAACGGAGTTTTCTTCAGGTGTCTCTAGGCAAGAATGGTAAGAAAAAACACCGTTTGCCTTGAAGAGATCACTGAATTTAAGCTTAGGAGCATTATCAGATCTTACCGACTTGACTGACAATTAAAACTGAGTTTCTACCATTTTGATGAAGTCAGGAAAGATACAAATAACTTCATCCTTTTGTTTCATCAAGAAGATTCAAGTAGCTCGAGAATAGTCATCAACAATAGTCAAGAAGTACTTATAACCTTCAGTAGTTGGAATGGAGAAAAGTCCCCACGTATCAATATGCACCAATTCAAAGGCTACTGAAGATCTATTCTGTTGAGAAGGGAAAGGAAGATGTCTTTGTTTAGCCAATTGACGAGTAGAATAATGTAATGAATCATCTTTATTTCTTTTAGTTAATCCAAGTACATCTTTTAAAAAATCCACTATATCATAAGAAAGATTACCAAGTCTACTATGCCACAAGGCAGCATCAACCACAACAGAAGAACAAGAAATCAAATGACCAGGAACAACAGACGATATAGAAGATAAATCAAGTACATGAAGTCCAAAAACTTGTTTACTCTGTCCAATCATCTGCTCCTTGGTACGATCCTGAATCACACATGAACTTGCATCAAAAACCACTTGTGAATTCAAATCCTTGGTCAACTGACTGATACTAAGAAGATCCAGTCAAAAATTCGGGATGAATAACATATTCTTAATGATTATATGATCATTCAGCTTGATACTTCCAACTCCTGCAATTTTAATTGTCACACCAGTAGGAAGAGTAACAGAACTATTCATGTCATATGACAAACTTGTAAACAAGATTTTATCATGAGAAACGTGGTGTGTGGCACCACTATCAACGATCGAAGTCTGAGAAGTCAATGCAGATTTAGTACTGTCAAAACTCCAATAAAAACATAATGTATAGTAGGAAAAAGAAATACCATTAAAGACCGAATCAACCACTTCATCAGGTGACATAAAATCATGAGGAAGAGAAGGTGTAGAAGGCATCTGAAGCTATGTGCTGAAGTAAGCGATCATGTCCTGTATCTGGTTCTTAGATATCTTAGAAATAACACCAGATTTTGAGGAACTGACTTTGCCAAGAGATAGATTAGCAACCATGGTTTGGTTGAGCCAGACGGCTTCTATGTATGCTGTTGTTTCTCAGCAGAGGCCTTCTCTGAAGCAGTCTTTGTACTTGTGTTTCAAGCCCGGAGGATAGCCATGAATCCTGTAGCAACCATCAACAGTATGATCCATATAACCATAGTGAGAACATTGCACCTTGTTTTGTTTAGGATTATTGTTGTATGAAGCATTCACTGATATCTGATCAGAAGAAGAAATGTTGAATGCCGAAGCATTGTTCTGCCCCAAGGGAGCAAAGCTACGTTGATTATGATCTTGATCCAGACGATTGTAAATCTATGCCAAGTCAGCAATGGTCTTTTTCATGATGATTTGACTACGAATGGTCGCATAAGACTCATTCAATCCTGCCAAAAATTTGATGATCTTGGTGTGTTCAGCCTTTGCATCAGCTGCCTTACAATAAGTACAACTGTGACAAGTACCAATACATTCAACACCATCTAAATCATCCCATAGCGTTTTCAAAGTAGTATAGTAATCAGAGAGACTCATACTACCATGTTGAAGAGACCAAATCTGTTGAGTGAGCTGATAAGAACGTGGAATATTAGTGATGTGAAAATGAACCATGAAATCTTTCTAGATCTCAACAGCATCATTGAAATGAAGTATGCTCTTGTATATAGACTTAGAAACCGAATTCAATAACCACTATTTTACCATATTGTTGCATCTTGACCATATCCAAAAGCTAGGATGTGATTCCAAAGGTCTTGGAAGCGATTCATCAGTGAAAGCTGTTTTGTTCTTCGCATCCAGAGCAACATACATAGCAATTTTCCAAGAGTTAAAGTTAGATCCATCGAATACCTCAGATATGATGACATTATCCGGACTATCGCTATTTGAAAGAGCATATGGTGAGTAGTTAAAGTCCGTAAATCATTCGAGGGATACGATGTAGCTGGGGTAAACGTTGGAGGCACCAGAGACTGATGAATCGAAGCTTCCTGATTGATCGGAGAAGATGCGGAGGGAGATTCACCACGAGATCAGGATTTTTTAGCCGAGGACACCGATATTCCACCAGGACGCCGTATTTTTCGTACGATGAAGAAGTGCGATCAAAATGAACTTGATCGGAAACAGAACGCCTGAGCAAGATGCTCTAATGCCATATCAGGAAAGATGAATAATATCTTTTTTATTTCTGCTTGAAAGATCCGTTACACTGATCACTCCCTTTTATAAGCTAAGAGAGTGTGTAACAAGTGGATAAAACCAATAACAGAATATTAAACCATCGGTTTAACATATTAAACTGAATGGTCAATTTACATACTCTATTATGCTTGTTTTTTAATTTATGTCAAGAAAATAGATATGAAAAAACCCGAGAAGATCACACATTAGTTTGTGGACCTTCTTTTAGTTCTTTTCTCTATTTCTTCAAAGCCATGCCAGCCTTGAGATATCCATAGGGTAATTCTGAAGGTGATTGTGCGTTGTACGTTGTACGATCTCTTTGCTATAACCCGGTCAAGTGAAAT